GTTCTTTAGAAAATTGGGACTTGATTATCTCAAGACATCTCCTGGGCATATATACCCAAAGGACACTCCATCCTACCACAAAGACACTTGCTCAACTATGTTCATAACAGCTTTATTCATGATACCCAGAAACTAGAAACAACCTAGATGTCCGTCAACTGAAGGATAGATAAAGAAAATGTGGTATATTTACATAATGGAGTATTACTCAGCTATTAGAAAAAATGACATCATTAAAGTTGCAGGCAAGTGGATGGAACTAGAAAAAATCATCTTGAGCAAGGCAATCCAGACCCAGAAAGACACATATGATATATACTCACTTATAAGTGGATATTAGTAAAGGATAATTACACTAAGATCCACAGAGCAAGGGAAGTTAGATAAAGAGAGGCTTGGGTGGGGTGCATGGATCTCCCTGGGAAGAGGAAATAGATTAAATTTTGTGGGTGGACACGGGTGGGAGACAGGTGGGGGTGGGAACAGAAGAGACCAGGTGGGGGAGGGATGAATGGAGGGAGTGTACTGAGAGAGACAACTGCATTTGGGGGCATTTAGGAAACCTAGTGTAGTGGAAACTTCCAAGACCCTATGAGGGTGACCCTAGGAGGGACTCCTAATAATAGAGGATATGGAGCCTGAATGGTGGCCATCTTCTGTAACCAGACAAGGCTTCCTATGGTGGGACTGGGACACCAATGCAGCCACAGAATCTATGACCCACAGTGTGCTCTGCCTGAAAGAGGTGCTGGGGTAATGGTGGCTCAGAGATTGTGGGAGTGGCCAATTAATGGGTCTAACCTGAGGTTCATAGTGTGAGAGGAAGCCCAGGCCTGACAATGTCTAGATGACCAGGATCCAGAAGCTGGATGTTTCAGAGACTGAGGTTAGAACCCAAGACAACTGACCAATGAAATTATTCCTAAGAACATTCTGCTATATTCATAGGATGAGTGCCTTGTCCAATTATCATCAGAGAGGCTTCCTCTAGCAACTAATGGGAGCAGATGCAGAGACCCACAGCCAAATACTAGGCAGAGCTTGGGGAACTCTGCAGAAGAGGAGGAGGAAAGATTATAGGAGCCAGAGGGGTGAAGGACACCAGAAGAACACGGCCCACAGAATCAACTAAGCAGGGCTCATAGAGACTGAAGCGGCCATCATGAAGCCTGCATGGGTCTGCGCTAGATCCTCTGCATATATTTTACCATTGTGGAACTTGGTGTTTTCGTGGGACTCCTGACTGTAGGAGTAGGGTTGCTGTTGTTTACAAAAACAGCAGGAGGAGAGAGAGAGAGAGAGAGAGAGAGAGAGAGAGAGAGAGAGAGAGAGAGAGAGAGAGAGAGAGGGAGAGAGAGAGGGAGAGAGAGAGGGAGAGAGAGAAAGAGAAGGAAAGAGAGAGGAAGGGGAGAGAAAGGGAATGAAGCAAATGCGCACAGGTGGTGCTCTCTTAGTGGCTGCGCTGAGGAGCATCCTGTCAGGACCCCAAGGGCAGGCCAGTACAGATGCCTGAATACTAACAGGTGTTTCTCTGACTCTTTTGCCTGTTCTTAGATCCTTTTTCCTCCTACTGGGTTTCTAATCTTATTGCATCTTGTTATGCCATGTTTGGTTGATATCCCTGGGAGGCCCGCTCGCTCTTTTCTGAAGGGAAATGGAGGAGGAGTGGATGTGGGGGAGAGGAGACTAGGGGGTTAGGAGAAGTGGAGGGAGGGGGAACGGCTGTCAGGATGTATTGTATGAGAGAAGGAGGAGGAGGAGGAGGAGGAGAAAAGAAGACCAACAAAAAACAAATCCCCAACAACTTAAAACTGAAAACAAAAACAAGCTAAAAAACAATCACACACAGACACACAGACACACACACAGACACACACACACACATACAAGCATGCCTGCGCATGTATGCATGCACCCAGATAAAGCAAAATGAGACAAAAAGTTGTCAAAAATACCAGTGATATTTTGTGGTTCATTTTGTGGTAGCCAACTACCTCTCCTGGGCATGGAGCCTACTCTCAAGTGTGGCTGCCACACCACAGGAGAAAACTGATTTTCTCTTTGCCAGCAGGTGTGAGTTGCCGACAGCTTCTTGATTAGGTGTGGGATCCTGTGTCCACTTCCCCTTTTCAGCACTGCAACTATTTGGTTTAACCCATTCGGGCCCTGTGAGAGCTGCCACAGTCTCTGTGAGTTCATGTGTGCCCCGATCCTGTTGTGTTTGGAAGACACTGTTTCTTTGGTGTCGTCTGGCTCTTAAAATCTTTCTGCCTCCTCTTTGTCATAGATCTTGAGCCTGAGGTGAGGGCTTGGTTGAAGACATCCCGCTTAGGACTGAATAGGATGCAAATTTTATAGGTGCAGGCATTTGAAGATTGTAAAACCTGATTGTTCTCAATTACATGTGACAGCAATTTTGACACCGTCCCTTCTCCGGGTGTACGCTCCAGTAAAGTTACCTACATTCCCAGTGCTGGATAGCTCATCTCCTGAACTTTTTGCCTCTTGCAACACTGACAGTGCATCCCATTAGACCACTGTTCATTCCTCCCCTTCCCTCTAGTGCCCGTTCTCTTTTGGCTCTACAAATCTGACTCCTGGAATCACTTGGACAAATGGAACCACGTGACTTCTACTTTCAGACCATCCACGTTCTATCATGTGTCAGGTCTTCCTTCTTTTACACAGGCTGAAATTCCACTGCATATGAAGCACACTTGTTTATTCGCCCATCCATCGATGTAAGTGGCTGCTGGGTGCCCTCTTTGGCTCTCCTGAATGGTTTGATATGAGTATGAGTAAAGGTGCATCGCTATGAGACCGTGCTTTCCAGTCTTTTGTGTATACATTCACAAGTGGGACTGATGGCTCTTAGGATAATTCTTTGTTGACCAAGAAACCACCACGCGCCATGAAATTTCCACTGCTGTTTCACATTTTACACTCCGGCCACAGGGTACAAGGGCTTCTCCATCCTATTTCAGATAAAAGGCCAAGAGGGGGCAGGCATCCAGTTTTTCTTCATTTGAGAAACACCTGTGATTTTCTTGCTTTTCTTTTTCTTTTTGAGACAGGGTTTCTGTAGCTTTGAAGTCTCTAGACCAGGCTGCCCTTGAACTCGCAAAGCTGCTTCCCGAGTACTGGGACTAAAGGCACGTGCCACCACCGCCCAGCTGCTTACTTATTTAATTTTTGTATGACGGCCTTCCTAACATGTGAAATGTATCCTGTGGTTCAACTTGCATTTCCCTAGTGGTTTATGATGCTGGGCACCATTTCATGTGCTTTTTGGCTGTTTGTAGAAAGTGTGGAGAGATGTCTACTTAACTCCCTGCATTTCACTTCCTTTTTGGGGGCTGGTTTTATTGCTGCTGTTGAATGGTTGGGGTTCTATCATTTTAAATATTAATCCCATATGAGATACAAATACAACTAACTTCTCCCTTTTCATGGGTTGAAGATGTATTATATTTTTTATCTCTATATAGTAATTGATGTGACTAGGCACAGAATATGACTAACTGGCTCAAGCTGGGTCACAGAGCTCTGAAAGAAGTGCCCTAATGGAATCCACTGGACAGTGGAAGCTAGAAGGGGAGAGGGTAATCTGCTCCTCTCCAAGAAACTGTTACTTGGCTTGTCACTGTAGTAGCAACAACAACAAAAACGACAAAACAACCACCACCCAGGCAAAAGCAACTTAAGGAAGCGTTTATTTGGGCTTCCAAGTCCAGAGCACATAGTCTGTCAGAGCCGGGAATGCGTAGCAGAAGGAGCAGGAGGCAGCTGTTACACTGTGTTCTGTCAGGAGGCAGAGAGCAAGGGTGCGTTTACTCAGGGCTTCCTGTGTCTCCAGCCGGGCCTCAGCCTATGGGAAGTACTGCCCACGTTTAAGGGTGTTCTCCCTTCCTTATTAATCTGGTTTAGACAATCCCTCGCAGACACGACCAGAGATTTGGTTTCATGGTTTTCTGAATCCCATTGTGCTGACAGGTAACACCAATGGTCACAGCTTTGATGACCTGGGTACTGATGTGGCATAGGATTGATATCTGATGACTTAGAGGAAGGAAAGAGGAGAGGAGTTTTCCCCACTGTCCTCTGTTCTTGTCAGGCCATGCTAGGACTCCGAAACTCTGACACGCCTGCACTGGGAAACTGGGTGACTCCCTCCACCTTTCCTGGCTGCAGTTTCCTCATGGGTATACAGGCTGGCTCAGTGCACTGTCTTCCTGATGGCCAGTTAATTCAAATGGAATTCTACTGGGGCTAGGGGATGGCTCCTATGAATTCCAGGAATTGGTCCCCCTTCTTCCCTTGGGCACGAGACACACACATATGGACTCTCCAAACACACTCTACCCCTCACCATGCTAGTGTTGACTCCTCTCTTCATCCCAGGCTCCTGAGGTCCAGGGCACAGTGACCCTTCTGAAATGGTGGAAGGGTCTCAACAGTGACCGTACAGTGACTCAGTGGCTGCTGCAGGGTAGATAGACAGAAGGCTAGCACTCACATCCCAAGGCTCAGGACATCCCTAGCTTCCAGAACAGAATGATCATGAAGGGTCACGGCAGGTTAGGAACTGGTCCAACCCTTGAGAAGAAAGCTTTCCCCCCAAGATTCCACTCTCACCCATCCAGATACAAGCCCACACCAGCGCTCCAAACTCTACTAAAATCCACTAAAATCTGAGGTCTTTGATGCTTGGAGAAGCTGGTGGAAGCTCTCTTCTACGTACCTACACTCTCACAGCAGCACCCAGCTTCAGAGGTTAGACTGGACACAAGGGTGATGGACCAGCAATGAGCTGAGGGCAAGACTGGGGGTCTGTCTGGACACAGGAGTGGGGTGCCAGGGTCACAGAAAAGGACTGACTGTCACGCCTCACCCTGGTTCTTCCTGCTGGGCACTCCTGTCAGGTAAATGGTCTCCCTGACCCAACACTTCCACTTCCTCAGACTCAGAAATACCTACTGTGCTCAGTGATTGCCACATGGGCCGCGTTGGGAAATGGAGGCTGTGGCAACTCTGGAAGGGAAGAGTGCTGTCTCTATAGCCCGAGGCTGCGGGCAGCTGGCCAAGCTTTCCGCTATAAAAGCAGCTGGCACTCAGCTTCACATGTCCTCTGTCAGCTCCGTCTCAGGGATATCAGGTAAGCAGAGCTGGGTGAGTCTGTCCCACGCTGTAGGCTTCCCTTGGGGAGGGTTGGGGGGATGGAGTAGCCCTCCCTGGGAGGGCAAGGAAGCTTGGGTTAGTGTGCAGCACAGAGCAAATGCTTGGGATGAGGATGAGGAAGGAGTGCAGTGTGTGTGTGTGTGTGTGTGTGTGTGTGTGTGTGTGTGTGTGTGTGTGTACTGAAGTCCCTCCAATTCTCCATCCTATCCATTCCCGTCAGAGAGAGTGCCATTTTCAGGGTTTTGTAATGTGGGTTATCAGGTCAGGCCAAAGCTACTTCTTGGGTCACAAACCTTGTGAATATCTATTCAGTCTTCACTCTGCCACCGGTAACCGCAGCACCCATCCCTTGGTGCTCTTCCTTTCAGGTGAGCAAATCTTTAGCTACAATGCTGTCTGAACTAGAGAAAGCCTTGGAAAACATAGTTAATGTCTACCATCAGTATTCTGGGACGAAGGGGAACCACCATGCCCTCTACAGGGATGATTTGAAGAAACTGCTCACGACTGAGTGTCCTGAGTTCATACAGGTGAGGAGGTGCTGCATTCCTGGGTTTTCTAGTGATGCCGGGGCGGCTGGTCCTCTGTGCTGCTTTCTACATAGAGCCATTGCTTAGTTTTCTCTAAGAGCGTTACAGCCTGGCTTTCTCTCCCATTCTTCTGGACAGAAGAAGAACGCTGAAACCTTGTTCAAGGAGTTGGACGTCAATCAGGACAACGCAGTTAACTTCGAGGAGTTCCTTGTGCTGATGATAAAGGTGGGCCTGGCAGCCCATGAAGACAGCCACAAGGGGTGTTGAGCTTCTGGCCTGGGCCTGGGTCCCTGGGCAATGTCTACAGAATAATAAAGTTGTCATACCTCAGGCTTCTCTGAGTCTCTTGCCTTCACTAAGGGCTGGAAAACCGGAAGGAAGAAGCCGCTGGCTTTGCCCTTACTGCTTACTATCCTTCGGTCTTTTCCTAGTGACTGTCACTCTCCTCAGCACTCCCCCAAATTGTTCTGAGTCTCTTCTGGGCTCCAAAGTGGTTCTAGGATCTAAAACACTGTAAAAGTTTCTAACTCATATCTGATAGATTTACTGGTTGGTCCTGAATGGGAGAATTGGGAACTGAAGGATGCTAGGCAAACAGATGCTTAGTTTAGGCAAACAGAAACAGCTTAGTTTCTAGTTAGATGCCTCAGACGTGACTTTTTGGAAATTAGTGGGATAGGTATGAAGGGCGTGTATATGGGAATGGAGGAGGAGCAGAGGAGGGAGGGAGGGAAGGAGGGAGAGAGGGAGAGAGGGATGGAAAGAGAGAAGACCCATTCCCTTCAGACCTTCAGTACTAGAAGAATGCCTTTGGTCCCACAGCTTGTATCTCTTCATTTTCACTCCAAAATTCCAAACTCAATTAAATGATAAGGGATGGGACAGCTCTGGTCATCTGTGCACTGGCCAACATCCCCATCATGACATCTATGGATTTCTCTGGGGCCTGGTACAATGAGAACGTTAGAGACCTTTTACCCCAGCTTAGCCATTGAATTGGATTTCTCTCTTTCTAATTTAAAAATTTATTATTTTTAAATAAAAATTTAAATTTCATATGTGTTCCATACTTACATCATTCCCCCTTTTGTCTCCCTCTTTCAACCTCTCCCATGTCATTCCCTTACTCCCTCTCAAATCCATGGCCTCTTTTTCCTTAATTATAATTGCTAAATACATGTGACTAAACATGTAAATACGATCTGCTGAGTTCATTTAGTGTTGCTCATGTGTATGTTTTTGGAGCTGACCACTTGGTACTGGATAACCAGTTAGGGCCCATCCTTGGTTGACTGATTCTCCCTCTTGGCAGTCATTAATTGCCTATAGCTCTTCATCTGGGGGTGGGACCCTATTCTCCCATTCATATCACCATGTCAATTGGTGTCAGAATTGTTCAGGTCTTGTTTAGGCAGCCACACTGTTGAGATTTCATGGGGGTAGCTTTTCTGTGACACGTAGAAGACACAATCTCACAGCAGATGTTCTAGTCCTCTGGCTCTTAACCGTATTTCTGAACCCTCTTCTGATATTTCCTGTAGGGTTGTTCTACAAATGTATCAGTTGTTCCTGGGTACTCCAACATCAGTTATTCTCTGTATGTATTCCACCAATTATGGGTTCGGTAATATTCTCTGTTATAAAACAAGCTTCTTTAATGAGGTGAGAGCTACACTTATCTGTGGGAATAAGGGTAATTATCTGGAATATGTTTAGAAATAATTTTGGGTTAGGAAAATGGCATTGCAGGTTTTCCTCTAGAGTCTACCATGATCACAATATCAGTATGAATTCCCTCCTATTGAGTGGGCCAGTAGATGGTTGTTGGTTACTGCCCAGAGAGTAGCCACTATTTGTGCCATTGCTTTGGTTCACAGGACTCACATATGGTTATGACTTTTGGTTGCTCTCCTCCCTTTATTAGCTCTCATAATTTCTTCCTGTACTATAAAAGCTACTCTTTAGAGAGGAGGCTTCTGGGTCAGATTCTGATCAATTCCTCCAAATTTTATGTTTGAAGTCTGTGGTGTCTTGGGGAATAAGGTTTTACCTTCAAATTCTGTGAGACAGTCAAGGACAACAGCAACGGTCTGTGGTGTTTTGGGATTTATTCAGATTCCCATGATCCAATAACTCTAAAGGAGGAAGGTTAGATAAGGTTTCTATTGTTGTGATAAAACACCATGAACAAAAGCAACTCGGAGAATAAAGGATTGTTTTTTTGTGCCTATATTTCCAGGTAAGAGTCCATCACTGAGAGAAGTCAGGGTAGGAACCTAGTACCAGAAACTGATATGGAGACCATGGGGGAGGGCTGCTTACTGGCTTGTTTCTCAAGGCTTGCTCAGTCTTTTTTTAAACCACCCAGGACCACCAGTCCAGGGGTGACACTGCTTTCACTGAGTTTGGGCCTTCCATATCAATCATCAATGAAGAAAATGGCTTACAAGCTTGCCCCAGACCAATAGTGTGGGGGAATTTCCTCAACTGCGGTTCCTTCTCCTCAAATAACTCTAGCTGATGTTAAGTTGATATAAAACTAGCCAGTACATAAATAACTTTAAAAGCCCTACAGTCTTTATAAATTTAGTCTCTTTAAATCATCCAAGGTCTTTTTCATTGTTCAAAGCCACATTAAAATATCCAAAGCCTCTTTAAATTCCAAAGTCTTTTAACTGGTGGCTCCTATAAAATAAAAAAAAAAAATATGTTAAACACTTTATTACTCCAAGAAGGAAGAACTAAGTCACAGTTGAAATCAAATCAGAGCAAACTCAAAATCCAACAGTTTACAGAGTCACTTCTTAGTGTCTGGGACCCACTCATAGCCCCCTGGGCTCCAAGGGGCCTGAGTGACTTCTCCGGCTCTGCCCTCGGCAGAACACACAGCTTTTATCCGGGGTTCAGGCTGGGTCCACTCCATGCCTGCTGCTTCCTTGCTGGTTGTCTGATAGTACCAGCATCTCCAAAAAGTTGGTCTTTTCTTAATCACAGCTGACTTCTCAGCCCCACCTGACCATCATCATTTGTCCCAATAAAGCAAAGGTTTCACTTTAGTGGTGCTCAATTAAAAAAATCGAATGGTCCCAATAGAATTCTTAAGTGACTTAAACTTTCCTCTGAAACCCCACAAGCCAGGCCTCTATCCTCTGCACCACTGTCAGCATTGTCTCCCAAGCTCCCACAATAGCTCATTAAACTCTGAACACCCAGTGACTTTTCTAGCCGCAAATGCAAGTTCTCATACAATGCTCTTCAAACATGGCCAGATCTGTCACAGCAATATTCCATGACCTGGCACCAATTTCTGTTTCACTCAGGTTTCTATTGTGGTGATAAAACACCACAACCAACAGCAACTTAGGGAGCAGAGAGTTTATCTCATAATATAGCTCGTAGTCCATCACCCAGGGAAGTCAGGGCAGGAACTCAAGGCAGGAACCTGGAGGCAGGAACTGAAGCAGAGGCCATGGAAGAACATTGCTTACTGCTTTGCTCCCCATGGTTTACTCAGCCTACTTTCTTATACCACCCAGGACAAACAGTGCAGGGGTGGCACTCGGCGATCTGGGCCTTCCCACAAACATCGTCAATCAAGAAAATGTCCCTCAAGCTTGCCTGTAGGGCAGTTTCGTGGGGGATATTTTCTTAACTGAGCTTCTTTTTCTCTAAATGACTCTAGCTTGTGTCAAGTTTACATTAAACTAACCTGCATAGGAGAGGTCTTTGTTATCTATGACCATTGTGGAAATCATTATCAACCTAAGCGAAATAACTTCATTAAGTAAAGGTATTTCCTGGTTTCTGAGGTTATTTCAGGTTAGGTACTCACATCTGAATATTCAGAACTAGATACCATAAATGAGAGAGAACATGAGGCATTTGTCTTTCTGGATGTGGGCCACCTCACTCTATATAATAGTTTCTAGTTCCACATGGATGGGGGGTGGGAATTAGGGAGACGGTGGAAGGAGTGGGAGAGCTGGAGGGAGAGGGAACTGTGATTGGTATGTAAAATAGGACTTTTTTTCAAAGATTTATTTATTTATTTGTTGTGCATACAGTGTTCTGCCTGCATGTATACCTGTAGGCCAGAGAGGGCACCAGATCTCATTACAGATTGTTGTGAGCCACCATGTGGTTACTGGGAATTGAACTCAGGACCTCTGGAAGAGCAGGCAGTGCTCTTATCCTCTGAACCATCTCTCCAGCCCCAAGATTGTTTTAAAAATAAAAAATATTAAAATAAATAAAATAAAAAACTTCTTTCCCAAAATTGTTCTGTGCTTAAATATGACTAAAACAAATGAATTGGTCTCAGACTCTCAAAGTTTTGACTCAGCAGTGGTTACCTAAGTTGGGATGATTCTTGTCTCTTTGGGAACCTTTTTCCTGCCATCCAGAGGCCTGCAGGGACACCCTCCCCCAACAGAAGTATAGCTGAGTCACATGGCAGACTTACTTTAAGCTTTTTGAGAATTCCCACACTGTTTTCCATAGTGGTGAATCAGTTTGTATGGCCAGCATCAGTGAATGATTATTCCCCTTTCTCCACATCCTTACCACCATTGTACGTTGTAAGCTGTTTTGTTTATCTTTGCCTAACTGACTAGGGAAAGAGGAAATCTCAAAGTTGTTTAAATTTACATTTCCCTAATTGCTAATAGTATCCAACACTTTTAAAAAAATTATTGTTATTATTTTGGTTTTTCGACACAGTGTTTCTTTGTACAACCTTGGCTATCCTAGAACTAGTTCTGTAGACCAGACTGTCCTCAAACTCACAGAGATCCTACTGCTTCTACTTCCTGAGGGCTGGGATTAGAGGCATGAGCCTCCACTGCCATTGAATACTTTTTGAGATATTTAATTTAAATTTTTTTCTTTTGAGAATAATTTGTTTAGATCCATAGTCCATTTTTTTTGTTTTTTGTTTTTTTTTGTTTTTTGTTTTTTTTTGAGACAGGGTTTCTCTACGTAGCTTTGTAGACCAGGCTGGTCTCGAACTCACAGAGATCCGCCTGCCTTTGCCTCCCCAGTGCTGGAATTGAAGGTGTGCACCACCACTGACCGACATCCAATTTAAAAACAACAAAAACTACAACAACAACAACAACAACAACAAAACTGGATCATTTGTTTTCTTAATTCTTTGTATAGTCTGGATATTCATCTGCTACCAGATATATAGCTGACAAAGATTCTCCACTCCTCCATGGGCTTCCCTTTCACTTGGTTGATTGTTTCCTCCAGGCTAGGGCAGAGCTGAAATGAGGCCGGGGGCTTGTAACAGTGCAGGCGAGATGGACCAGACAAGTCTGATGCACAGG